CTGCGAAGCCTAATGTCTGCGCGTGGTCTGAGCGGCGCAGACATAAGAGCTTTGAATACCTTAAACAGTGAAAACAAACACCACCTAAAACGTTCCTTCTAATCATATGTTTAATGATGTTTGGGCAGTTCTTAGAGATCTAATCTTTTCATTCTTCTATCACAGACAGATCTCTTGTATGTTTCATTAACGTGTGCCAGTAAACAAATATTTATCATAGCTTGAGATCATCATTCAAGATGTCTTCTTAAGAATCGTTTGTTTTAAAAAGATGTCTTTTTATCTGTCTTTCATATAATTTTTCATCCTTTATTATTTGGACGAAAATTTATACGTTATTTACAACTCATTCTTGTGAGATGTCTCATTTATACAGACAGAAATAGAAAAGACAATGAATAAAAAAGAGATTAAAAGGTTAATAAATAATTAATTAATCACGGCACTAATCCAAATTAAATGTTGATGTGTTAATTCACCATCGTGTTTTTACCATTAAGAGTGCAAGATCTATGTTGCCAATTTTTTTATAAAAATAAAATCATGAAATGTGTCGCTCTTAGTGGTTGCACCAATTATGTGTGTCACCGAAGGTTGACTCTTAAACCCGCTTCTTACTTTCATTTAGATGAATTAGTATAGAGTTGAGGGCGATCTTTTTAATCTATTTTGTTTTATTCACCTACGTCATGATTCAAACTCTTAACTTTACTTAAATATCTGATATCTCATCACATAAGATCAATTGATTTTTAATTTAAGTCGTTTTTTTTACTTAATTTCACTATTATTTGAACCCCAAATAAAAGAAAATTTTAAAATTAATAACTTTTATTTTTATCGTCATTTTTTCTTTATCTAGTTACTGTGATATATGCATCTATTCATTCTATGTTCAAATTTTATAACTGTCCTCAATAATACTATTTTTAAAATTTAAATGTAGATTATTTTTTTTATCAAAAGTGTAATATATCTAGCAATGAACATTTAAGAGAATAGAATCACTAAAAGTTTGTTGGTCTAATTTAACTTTGGTCACAGGTAGTTTGAATTGTTATCAACTTAAATATCATTTTTAAATTTTAGGATCAAATACTTATTAAATTTATGTTAACTTTAAAGTTAAGCAATTTGATCTCTTTCATTCTCGAATTTAATATTTTTTTCATAAGAAATCACTAATTTTATTCAATTAGAAAATAGTCTAAATTGTAATAAAGATTACAATTATAATAGTAAATTAAGCACATAATCAGCACAATTTCCTATAATCATTGAAATAAAATTAGCGACGTAAGACCACATGAGAATCATATAAAGAAAAATTAAAATATAACCAAGAAAACTCGAACAAAGATAAATACAACCAGATTTGATCGCATCAACAAATGAACCACAAAAGGGGGTCAAGCTACTGAAAGACCACCGACAAACCGTAAATCAGACTCGAGCGACGTGAAAGCTATCCACGAACACATAATGGGTATCCAAATCCAATACGAATGTCCAAAGTAGGGAAGATCAACAATATAACAGATAAGCGTCATCTTGATCAGTCGTGACGATGTGTAATCAACCATTAAAAAGATATAAGTGAAAACAACGACCAAGCAGCCGAAAAACATTTAAAAGGCAGAAGAAAAAATTCCATAAAGACAAATGAAAACGTGATATACAATCATACTTATTGAAAATTCGAATTTAATTCTTTTTTGAATGTGCTTTTTTTATATCCAACATTTGTTGATTCAATTCTTTGATATATTATTCAAGTAAAATTTCAATTATCTGTTTTTATTTATTATAGTTTTGTTTATGAAAGATATATTATTATTATTATTATTATTATTATTATTATTATTATTATTATTATTATTATTATAAATTTAGTAAAACTAATATTTTATCTATTATATTTCTCTTAAAATATTATTTTATAACAATTTAATTAACAAAGTCAAAATCGTACGGGAGGAAAATATTAGATAAGATTATATATATTTGACCAAAATTATAGAAGATTATTCTGACAAACAAATGAAGTTGGGATTAAATTTATCGGTTGAGCAAATGACGGGAGATTAAAGCGTCTTACTAACTCATTCCTTTATTAAATTTTGTAGTCTTAATTTAAAATAAATGTTTAAATTATATTTTTTATTTACATTAGATGTTTAAATTATATTTTAATTAAAAAATGTTTAATATTTTTAAAATTATTATTTAAGGTGTTTTGTCGTAGCACGAACCAAACAACTTCGATGGTAAATGAATTGTTATTATTATTTGAAGTACTAAGTTCGAGCACTATGAATGTCAGAGGCATGAGTGTTCAATATCAAATGGCTGAGAGATATTTATAAACATATATTACCTTGTATATATCGTAGATGAATTAAAAAAAAGTATTTTGCCGTTAACAATCGTTAAAAAAATATGCTATCCAATCACTGTTTGACATTAGTCTATTTTCTCAATTTTTTAATTTTATATTTTTCTAAAATATAAAACCATTAACTTTTTAAAAATCCCGTAAGATCTCTAAATTACTTAAAATTCCTAAATCTCTGACAATAAATCCTTAAATCTCATATGTCATTATTGGATCAAACATTATAGGTGCGTTTGGTTCACGGAATGTAAGATTACTAGTGGGAATGTAAGATTACCATGGAATAGGATTATTGGGAATGTTGTATTTTATATTTGGTTGGTTTAGCAGGAATGTAAGATTATCGTATTTGGTTAAAATAATAAAATATTATTAGAATGTATATTTAACCAAATTGTTCTTATTATATATTTGTTTTTTTAACAAGTTGAAAAATATTTATATATTTTCTTTAAAAATTTAAATTCATAAAATTTATATGATTTTTTTTTACAAATTTGAAAATATAAAAATGTTTAATGAAAGGGTAAAATTTTATTTTAAACTCTGAATTTCATATAAAATTTTAATTATAGATTTTTTTGTAAATCTAAAATAGTTTAAGGATAAATTTATAATTTAACATTCGTAGAATTTTTATTATTCAATGACAGAAGAATGATATTTTTTTAAAAAAATAAGGGTATTTTAGTTCAAAACGCCAGTAATCCAACAATACCTAAGGGAAGGGAGATAATGACATTCCCGATAATATATCCCCAAAAATCCACTATTGGTAATCTTACATTACCGAAAATGAATTCTCAACTAACTAAACAAAAAAATATAGAATCCATTCTCGTGGGAATCTTACATTCCCAACAAAACTCCCCTATAAGTCATTCTTTCTGTCGTCGGACTCCCATCCCACTAATTTTGTCACCTCTTGTTGTCGCACGTCGTTCCTAAATTGTATCACTCAAAATTATTTGTTCACATAACATTGTATGTCTTTCATTTCAGTGAAGCTACACTGTCGCTTGAATACTTGATCGCACGCTTGGCGCTTGATAGGATAATCTTAAAATGATAACAAAATAAAATTTTAGATACTTTAAATGATTATCTAAGAAATGTCAAGTACATACTTTTACAGCAAAAAAAATTAAACACTTAAAATAAACAAAAAATATATATTTTAAACGCTAATTTGTTAATTAAGCTAATTAAAAAATTAAACTGATGTAATTGAGGGGGGAAAACAAAAAAAATGTTAATTAAGTATATAATTCTATAAAATCAATTAAGATTATATCTATTAATTAATTTAATAGAATAAGTCGTTAAAAAATTTAAATTAAAAATAATGATTTAAATTATAATATTGAGAATGAAATAAATTAAATTAAAAAATTTATTTTCTTGATAAATTTTTTATTCAAATTATTTGATTAATTTATTAAATATCGATGATTATGAAAATAATAAACATAGTTTAGTTTTTTTTTCTAAGAAAAGGAAAATAGTTTGGTTTAAACAGAGTGAGGGGCATCGTTTTGAACATTGGGCCGTCTTTGACTCTCCGTTTATTTCCTTTACAAATGTAAACAAAAGAACAAATTGTTTTATTTGTCCGTTAACAATTTATTTTAAAAATGTTTTTTTATTTGACAGATAATTGATTGATTAATATAAAATAATTTATTCATCAGCAATGATTTTTATATTATTTTGGATTATTAATCAATATCATTTTGATAAAGGAAAAAGAACGATTTAAATAGTTCCTGTTGTATGATTATTTTATAAGCTTGTGACTTGCAATTTTAAGTGTTTTATCAATAAAAAATATAGTATTATTTACATATTATAAAAAAATAGATTTAATATAAAATAAGTGTTTAAATTGTATTTTAAATTAATTTGTAGTGTCTAAAAATTTTTTCGTTAAAAATAGATATCTTATATTTTTTTCCGTTACACTTTTAGGTGTTAACTGTTATATTTTTATTTTTTAAAATAAAAATATTACCTTTTAAAAAGTATCACCCCACCTCTGACGACGAAGAGTCATCACCGGTTAAATTTTGTTCGGAGTAGGATGAGGAATTCAATGGTGGCGATTGTGTAAAACAACGACAACTAGAGCCGTGAGATCGTTGAAAAAAAAACTAAAAATCTGACGATCATTCATGACATTTTCCACAATGATCGATGTAATTTCACGGTGGATAAGAATTAGGTTTTAATTGCAGTAGCTAGATGGTTTTGATGATGTCAACGGTGATGACTATATACTAATAGTTGACCAATCGACGATGGAAGAATTAATTTTTAGATTTTTTAAAATATATATATATATATAATATTAAATGTTTTTTAACAAAAGATTTTAAAATTTTATATGCGTGACACGCATTATATAATGATTAAATTTTACGGTTGTTATAGTTCAAACACCTAAAAGTATAACATTAAAACGTCAAACCTCTATTTTTAGTGAAAAATTTATATATCGAAAATTAATTTAAGGTATAATTTAAACATTTTATTTTTATATTAAGCCTAAGAAATAAAAAAATAAATAAAGGTTAGAAGTAATGTAAAACCCAGATAATTGAGTAAAGCACGCACGAAAAGGAAACACTTTCTCCCAATGTTAGATGAAGATCAAACCCGACAGACATGAAGATGAAGTAGTCCTTCAGAAACAAGATAAAGCTTCTCCCTTGATTTCTTCTTCATCACATCTCCCTTGAATTTACAGCAACACTACACCAACTGTTGCTAATATTCTCTTTTAATCTTTATTCATCGTTCAATTTTAAACCACACACTTTTTCATTCTTCTATATATATATATATATACACACACAGCCTCACCTACGATTCTCAGAACGAAAACATTTTCTTTTTGGTGATTTTTAAAGTAAATGAGGTGTAAGGAGCATCTTACCGACCTCAGTAGCAGCGTCGGCGTCTGCGCCACTTGTCTCCGGGAGCTTCTTCTGGAGCTCATCGCCGCCCGGACCCAACGGAATCAGTTAATTCGCGTTGCAACTACTACCGCTGCCGATGACGATTGCCGGAAGCATGACCCGACGCCTCGTAATTTCCCTCGGTCCGTTTCTCCTTACGTCGGTCGGGGGAAATCCGACGATGATAGTGGCACGTGGATCCTACATCAACGGTTCTACAGCACCCCTCAGGTGGGTCCAACGTATGGCTCCACGACCACCGGTTATTTTGAATCCGCGGGTTCGTTCAAGAAGAACAGGTTCTCGCTTTTTTCGAATCTGTTCAGGTGCAGATCCGAGAAGTTCGATTTGGATCCTAGGGTTAATTATCAGTGCGATGAGCCGCCTCCGTCATCCGCATCGCCGTCTTGGTTCGCTACAATATTCGCTGTTCGTCGGAAAAAGAAGCAATCATCAAAGGCATCCCGTGTGGAAGGATTCGACCAATTCGGCCCCGGCGATCGGAGATCATGCAGAGTCATAGATCGCGGAATGTCCCCGGCGGTCGAAGTTGATTCGGGAGACGAGTGTGATCGACCGCCATCGGGAGGCTCGCCGGAGGCATCCCCTCAGCGGAAAAGGACACCGACGCCAGCGAGGAGATTCAAGGCCGGGACGAGGAACGTGTCGGGATTAGCATTTTGCTTTAGCCCACTCGTGTGGACGAGCCCTAACAGACACTGGAATCAAAAGGTCGAATTGCCGCCGGACATGTCGTTCACCGGGGAACCTCGACCTTCGACGATGAAGCCCCACCTGGCGACCGCCGCAGGGTTCCGCGCGAATAGGTCCAGGAAGCTGGCTGATTTTGGCAGAGTCAATCATAATAGTTGAGTGAGTTAAATCGTTGACATTTGACCACAGTGATCGTGAGTTAAAACCACGGTATTGCCATTGCATTTCTTCAGTTTCTGTGATTCGTAAATTATTATTATTTTTCTTAAATTAATTTACCCATGTATATATATATATATATTTGTTACTGTGCAGTTACATTACCGTAAAATATCATCCACTGAGCTCTTTATAATATCTTTCTTTTGTCTTTTCTATTTTTATCTATTCATAGCTTCCATGTCTCATTTTAATTTTATTCAGCTAATAATAATTTATTTTCTTATAAAAAATAATAATTTATTTTAATTATAGTTATTCAGATGCATTATATTTATCATGTCTTTTAGAAAAATAATATATAGAGGGGTATTATTGTAATTATCTCTAAATATAAATGTAAATTTATATGATTTTTGGGTGGGTCGGGTCAGGTCGGATATTTTTCACCCGAACCTGATCCGACCACAACCTCTAAAAAACCTGACCTGACCTTGATTTAAAAAAAAATCTAACCCGATCGGATTAGATCGGATTCGAGTCTCATGTCCATCCCTAATTACAAGAGTGTGTTTGTTTAAATAGTTTAAATTTATATTTAAAATATTTTTAAAAAATAAATAAGTATTTTAGATATAATATTATAAAGATATAGTGATAAACAAAATGTCTCCAACGTTGATTTGAATAGTAATTTTAGCTCATATTCTTTTTCTTTGGAGTATTTTAGCCAACAATGTTTTATTTTAAGATAAAAAAACCCTTAACATTATACTAAATAGTCACTTTAGCCATTATTCTTTTTTAAACATTTAGTCCCCCACAATTTCATTTCATGGCAAAAATGTCCTTATTTTATACCATTTATTGACTAACAATTTACATCAACAAAAGAACTTTTTTATCCAAAAAAAAACATTAAAAGCTAAAATGTTTAAAAAATATAAATATTAAAGTAAATATTTAATCAAATGTTAAAAATATTTTTCATCATTATATCTATTATAAAATCGAGTTTTAAGGGATGAAAGGGGTGGGAACAAGAGACAGATGTATGTAGAGAATGGGAGGGGCTTTTGTCCCTCCCAAATTTTTTGATCCAATATCTATTAGGTTTTTATCAGTTTAAACTTAAGTAAAATTAAACTTTTGTCCTGAGTACATAATAAATTATTATTATTTTAAATTTAAGTATCTTATTTCTTGCAATATTTGACCCTAATTCTGTCCTTGGTGGGGACCAACGAGAACATGATAAAGAGAAGAAAAGATGGAAAAGGATTTGGGGGCAATCATATTATTGGAGACTCGAATAGAAAGGACTCTTGGCCTTGGCCACATAGTGGAATTAAGAGAGAGAGTTTGACAAAGGAAGGAGCATATGCAAGTGTGAGTGGCGCATCATTTTGCCTTTAGAATTGCCATTTTTGCTGCTATTGGTGTAATGGTGGATGGACTAACCCAACAACACAGAGTTAGGTCTTAGTTTTTGGGACCATTAGGTGGGACCTTTAACATCCAAATAGTAAAAACTACACCGTTTAGTAAAAACTTCAAAAGATGAACACTACTTTGTTAAAATTGTGCTTTTGTGGGTTTAAAATAAGTATATTATCTCCAAAACCCACTACCGACAATGGCAAGGTTGCTACAGGAAGATGCTGCGTTGATATAGTTGATAGTTTTCCCTTCATTCACCAAAAAAAAAAAAGTATATTGTGAAGTCACCTATTAATGATTTTATTGAAGTAGTGTGTAGGTGTCAATAACTTTAAGATAAATTATACAATGACTAAAATTAAATTACAAAAAAGATAAAGATATAAACGTATTAACACATAAACGTACGTAATTTCTTTTGGACAAAGTAAACTTAATTTATTTCGGTTCATTTTTTATTTCAATTTAATACATGTTTGATATTTTTTGGTTTGCTCGATTTAGTGTATGTACGATTTGTCTCAAAGTCGCTGACAAATTGTGCACGACTCCGACGAAATCGTTTCTAGTTATTGATGATTTTTAGACCATAATATTTTATCCTAACATATTAGTACATGACGACTTTGCAAAGTTTTATTCATATAGGGATGAATTCATTCAACATTATAGATATTAACCTATTTTCCTAAATAATCTTCGTACATTCATATTTTTCTTGTCTTTTTTTTCATAATATTTCCCTAAATTAGACTTTTCTACATACATAATTTTCATATTAAAGAAACTTAAGAACTAATATCTTTTAAAAAGTTTAAATATTTCAAAGGTTTTATATTATTTTAAAATTAAAATTTTAGTTTCTATGTTTTATTTTTTTCAAAATTGAGTTTTTATATTATTTTTATATAAAATTTTGGTCCCTCCCTTAACTTATGTTCAATGTATTGTTAATTGAAATCTATAGATCTCGTAACTATAAAAAGGTAAATAACTTTTTAGTCCTCTACGTTTATAATTTTATCAACTTAACCCTTGAACAACTGAAAACATAGATAATTAAAATATATATATTATTTAATTAATTATATCTTTTTATATTGACAATAAAAAATTGTAAACATAGGAGCATAAAAAAGTTAATTTTGTTTTTTTTAGCTGGGATGTCAACCATTAAGAGTAAAATTGAACTGAAGTTACAGGAAAGACTAAATTTTTTAAATAAAAAAGAGTACAAGGGCTCAATTTCGTATGGATAAATTTTAAATTTTGGAATAGTATAGAATCCCTTAAAATATTTAAATATTTTAAAATTATATAATAAAATTAGAGAAAAAAACATTATCCACCTGTCAAATTCAATTTTAGAATAAGGAGTTTTAAGAATTCTGAAAATTAAAAGAATTTATAAGTTGTTTTTGGTTTTAAAGTTTGTTTGACTTTAAGAAAAATAAGGTGAGAAAATTAGAAACTTAATTTGAGTGCTTTGCTAATTATGTCGTAAGAATGGAAGATGTTTCAATGCAAAGATATATATATATATATAGAAAAAAATAAGAATTAAATTATAAGGATTATGTTAGAGAGAGGATCAGATTATCTCTGTCGATAGGATCTTAAATTAAATTTAAAATGATATCTTAAAATATCAACTGAAATTTTGGAGAAGTCATTAATTGATCATACTATCCGCCATCGTATTAATTTCACGGCAAATCTATTTAACTCTCATTGTACATATAGAGATAATGCGACAACTCTACCAATGTTAAAACAAACTCATTCATCTATATATTTCTCACATTTTTTGACAACTAAGGAATCATATTTATTAATGTTTTATTTAAATATAGATAAATATGATTTTTGAGATTTAACTAAGTAATTATATTTATTTGGTGATTTTAATGGTAAAATAATATGTTGTTTCTTTTAGAGGTTTTAGGTTCAAACAGTTTCGTCTGTAATGTATGTACATTGTCAATTATTAAAAATATTATAAACAAATACTATCTTATAATCACACCATATTATTCAAAGAAAAGAAAAGGGAACAAAGTAAAATCGCTCACAACTGGACGCTTTTTCATCTCTTATCATTAAAAAAATGCTCAAATATATAAAAGGTGCCCAATCTATGTCATTTTCCCAGTTTAGTAGCTAATGATTATTTCGTTCCAGTTTGGTACCTAACATTTTATTTCGTTACTCACATGGGTCAAGCCGCGAGGCACTGTTAGTTTTCTCTATTAAGTGACACGTGTCATAATCTCGTAATTTTTAAATTTATTTTTTCAAAAAAATATTAAAAATATTATTATATTTATAAAAAAAACTCTTATTTCTTTTAAATTACAAAAAAACCTCAAAATCCCTAAAATCCCCAAATCCTAACACTAACCCACTGTTGTCGACGTATTTCTTGTCATCATCCTAGTTATAAGTCATCGTAGTTGTTGTTGATTGGCCGTCCAAATCGTTTGGGATTGTGATTTTCATCCTAGGGTTTGAGGGGTATAAAATGTCGATTCATCGTCAATCGGCCGTTGATCAGTCACGATTTCATAGGGGATTTGGCCGACTGGGGAATGTGAGGTTGGGTGGAGCTTCGTCGACGGTAAAGGGTGACGGTAGGTATGGGTTTAGGGGTTGAAATGAAGGTTTTAAAGTTTTGGGATTATTTTAAAATTTGTGTTTTCTTTTTTAAAAATATATAATTTTATTTTTTTAATTTTATATAATTTTTTTAAAATTATCATATTGTGACATGTTTTACTTAAAGGAGAAAACTAACGGTCTGTCACGACTTGACCCATTTTAAGTAATTGAATGAAACGTTAGACACCAAACTGGAACGAAATAAAAGTTAGACACTAAACTAAAAAAATGAGCATATTGATGGACACCTTTTATAAATTTAAGCCTTAAAAAAAGACATCATTTCTTTAAATCATTACTTTTAGCGCTAAACTTCTACTTAATTTTAAAATGAATATTTCTACATAAAATTATCTAACCATATATTATGCAATTTGATATAACAATATAGTATGTAATTTCAATAACAAACATTTATCGGTTAATCTTATACAATTTCGACATTGTACGATTTATGAAAGCTTTTACCCCTCATTTTAATAAGGTTATTTAGTTCTAATAAATTTGATTATTTAAATCAATTCTTTCGATCTTAGTCTTGATGTAGACTTGAATATGATGATCCAACCTTATCTCAAACTAAAATAAACTTTTCACACCCCAATTTTAATTTTAAAATATAATTAATTTAATTAAAGGACTAAAATAGACAATTTAGAAAAATGTGGGTTAATTTTGAATGTTTGGGAAGTTCAAGGACTTAGCCTTGAATTATCCCTTTTCGATCAGTAGATAAAATTTTAAAAAGATAGGAGAATGGGTGACTGAGTGGTGTTGAACCTTGACCCCCGAAATAGTCGGTCACGCCCCTATCAATCGAGCTAGGCCACTGTTGCTAATAAGAAGTAATAAAATCTTATTTTATATTTTATATATCGGGTATTAACCCATTTTTTCCAAACCCCCTCGTATTCTTGAATTAAACCCCCTGAAACCCA